TTCTGCCCATTGAGATACTTTCTGTCTTATACAAGGAAATGCCTTGCTGTGAATATTCAGACTCAGATGCTGTGTGAGCAGAACCACAAACAAGAACTGGTTCTTACTGAGACGAACAGTTCAGTTGCAGTTCCTGAAACCTCAGGAATAAACCTTGGAGAATTTGCAAGCTCAGCTCAGCAGAACCGATCATAAGTTTTTCTGTCTGGAGTTGCATTGAGGTTTAATAGTGAGAACAATTATTGTCATCTGAGTCTGGCTCCCCACTGAGATGCTGGCGTCGCCGGCTCCCCTCCCTCATCCCCCACAGAGCAACCCAGGTTGCTGCAATGCACCAGGTTACTGCAATGAACCAGGTTGCTGCAATGAACCAGGTTGCTGCAATGAACCAGGTTGCTGCAACACACCAGGTTGCTGCAATGAACCAGGTTGCTGCAACACACCAGGTTGCTGCAATGAACCAGGTTGCTGCAATGCACCAGGTTGCTGCAATGAACCAGGTTGCTGCAATGAACCAGGTTGCTGCAATGAACCAGGTTGCTGCGTTGCTCACCTCTTTTCTCCATCATTTCTCCCTCTCTCATACCACATGTCCTGTTTTTTATATTGTCAACATGTTGCTTTTCATATGTAGAGGTTTTTTACAACCTCACTGTAATTAGACAAAGTTAGAACATCAGTCTTCAGAAACAAACTGTGACATAAATCTTTTTAAGCTTGATAATAGTATTTTCTACCATCATAATGTTAAAAATTATAATAGTACATGACTGAATATCAACATGAATTTGCAGCATTTTATTTCAGGAGGGAAAAAAGACCAAAACATGCAGACAAGATGGTGAATCACTGATAAACACTTTGGTTTCTGATGGGTTTGGGGAACCAGGATGAACTAAGAACAGCAATTTATCCTCTGCCAGGTTATTGGCAGAGGATAAATTGTCACATATGTGGATAATTGGATAAATGTAACATATGTGTTATTGCTTTTGAGAAACCAAATCAAGGTGTAATTAAGTCAGGATATCTGATAAATCATGGTTTAATCTTCTATCTTTTTTTGGGAAACAACTCAAAGTTTGAATCCAGGAAATAGAAACATGAAATAATTTGTTCAGAGAAAAACCAAAGAAACATCAGCTGTTCATCACTAATCTAATAATCCTGAAGATGAAACTTTAAAAGGAAGAGAGATGAAACTTTGACCAGAAATCAGAAGTGGATGTTTTCTAAAAACATGAGAGAAAAAACAAACTAGAAAATCAAAGTTGAAGTAGAAAAAACAAGAAAACTTACAGTTTGATCAAATGATCCAAAGAGTTGATGAAGAATATATGAACAACAGTCTGACTCTAAAACTAAAAGTAAATGTGAGGGATGTGGTGGGACTGATGACATCACAACTCACATGATTTTTAGTTTCTTCTTTCAGAGCAGCAGAAAATCTGCAGTGAAATTAGAGACATGTTGATAAAACCTTCATGAGGAAAAGAGAAGTTCTGATGAAAATGTTTCATGATGGAATCATGAGGAGAAAAAAGTCCAGAGGAAAATATCAGCTGATTCCTGCAGCAGTAACTGAACTGACTATAAATACAAACTGAAAATAATCAGAAACAAAATAATCAGTAGTTCCTGATATCACCAAACTACTGCAGCTGAAATAACATTATTATAATACAGATTATTACTATAGCTCATATAAACTGTCTCTAATATATATTTATATAATTATTCTCTTATTTCTGAATCATGATTCATTTCACATTCCTGGGTAAAAGTTACTCAAAACATCAAATGTACAAATAATATGAATTATAATTTACTAGAAGTTACCTGTGGAAAACCACAAGGGTCAGAACTTGTAGTTTTTCTTCTCTTTTCATTTAATGAATAAATCATAATTTGAAAACTGTTTATTATATTTAATAAAGTTTTCTTCATCAAATGTTGAAATCAGTTTGATGATCTGAAACATTTCAGATCAACAAAAAGGCAAAACAGAAATAATCTGTAAAGGAGTAAATACTTTTCACAGCACTTAATGTTTCAGGTCCAAGAAATCAAGCGGTCCACTCTGGATTTGGAAAAATGTTCTGTTTAAGGTGTGACTGAAGTCCAGTTGTTCTGGGATTCTGGATCAGTCCAGAACCTTCTGGATCAACCAAACCAGATGCTTAGATCTTCTCATTATAAATGAAAGAAATTTGATTTCTTGATTCTGTCTGATTGTAACTTCCTCCTCAGCATGTCAGTGTCCTGCTTAGACCTCTAATAATCATTTGGTTCAGGTTTGTTGAATCAGAACTACAACATGCAGGATGTCGGCCCTCCTGGACAGACTTTGGACACCACTGGCCTAAAGTACCGCATGAGAACACTGACCAAACTAATGTCAAATATATTCACATTATGATTTAAACAGCATTTCATTAGTAAAAATTTAAGTGCATGTTATCCACCTGAGTGACATTTGGATAAATCCTAGAATTTCATTATTATTTTTTTTTTACAAAATTCTTTTCACACCAATTTTCAATGTCTTAAGAAAATCAAAACCACTTTGGAAAAATAACATTGACTTAAAAAACATCATAATTAATGCATGAAAGGGTTAATAGCTATTACCTGCCAACCGCCATCATGATTTACAAAAACCCTTTGAAAACTTAAATTTATGAGTTACAACCACATTTAATTTATCTTTAGGATCAATTAAGTATTTTTTAAATTGAATTTGAATTATCTGGATGAAAAAAATCAACACAGCTATAATTCAGATCGGTTTATTCTGGAGATTTTGTGTTGGATTTATAAAAGGTTCACTACATGGAAACATTAAGCAACAATGTAAATGTAAAGTGATTTCTCATTTAAAATAATTCTATTTATTCAGTATTGCAGTAGTTTTTTTATATTTTAGCTTTAAGACTGTCAAGATGATCCTTCCAATTTCTGGCCTTTTACCATTCGCAAAAATCTGATTTCGTGAACTCGATTTATTTCAGTATTATGAGCTTGACATAAACATTTTTTTAATCATTTTTTTCTTCGAAGAGTGTTTGCAGCGCAACTGGCTCATATTTTTGACAGTAGGCAGAAAGGAAAGAGAGCAAGGAGAGGGGGGAAGACAGGTGGCAAAGGTCGCCGGGACCGGGAATCGAACCCGCAACGTCGGTGTCGAAGACTGAGGCCTCCAGACATGGATCGTGCACCACTACAACACGCCCCATTGACATCACTTTTGATGTTCTTGTCACTAAATATCAAAACTTTTCTTTTGCCATAAATTAGTGATATTCTATTTTTTGCCATACCATTTCTTCAATGCTTGTATTTAATGGTCTCCAACATGGTGGGTCCATTAAACCGAGAAGCTTCTAAAAACATACCAGAGCTTCATAATGTAGCTTTATAATGTAATCTTCAATCTGCTGTTGTTGTATCAACCTTCCAGACTCCCAGGTTCTGGTTCTGGTTCTGCTCTGCATCCCCAGAACCAGAACCAAGAGAGGAGAAAAAGCTTTCAGCATCTTTGCACCAAAAATTTGGAACAAACTTCCAGAAAACTGTAAAACACCAGAAACCCTGACTTCCTTTAAATCTCAACTAAAAACACACCTGTTTAGAACTTTATTTGAAATGTAATATGTAACAATGTATTGTTTATTATATGTTGCATGACTTTATGTTTTTGTGTTCATGATGTAAAGCACTTTGAAATGCCTTGCTGATGAAATGTGCTATACAAATAAAATTTGATTAATTGACTGATTGATTGATAATGTAGAACCATCAGCAAATAAAGTAAATGTGAACCAGTTAGATTCATTATAAATATCATTTATATAAAGTAGAAACATTTAGGACCCAGTACTCTAATAACCTCCAGTATATCTGAATTTTATCTCCTCAGGTTTTGGTTAAATTTCCATGAAACTGTCTGACTTTGTCAAATATCAGCGTTTCCTCCACAAGGTTCTCATGAGAGCTTGTTGGAGTTCTGGTCCATTCCTCCTGACAGAACCAGGAGAACTGGGTCAGGTTTGACGGCTGTATTTGTATAAATATTAATATTTTATGACCAAATTGATAATAACACGACAATTATCATTTCTTAGGTCGGAGAAGCAGAATATTTTCCTCTCTTCCAACATGGTGGATCCATTAAACTGAACCATGTCTGCTGTTGGCAGCAGCAAATAAAGTTGATTCACTTTTGTTAACAAAATAATATTTTAAATTCTCAGAATTTTTCAAAGCAATCAGACCTTTTCTGTCCAAATCTGATCTTCCAGTTTCTGGGATTTTTTTCCAAGGTGGAAAATGTTCTGCAGTGTCAAGAAAACCCGAGATCATCCCAGTTCCCCATGCTGGAGATTTTAATTTAACAGTAACAATAGATAAAGTTACCTTTAAAGTCAATCACACAATAACATCAAGACCCAACAATAGAGTTAAACTTCAATAAAATCAATCTGGTTGTTTTTGTCTCCTGTAAACTTTGCTTTAATTCTCCTTCCTACTTCTGCAGGGTGAATCCCAGCAGATTTAGGAAACTCATTTCCCCCGTTAGACGGAGAGCTGGAAGCTCATCTCGTCCTCTCAGAAGAGGAAGCAGAGAGAGAGAGTAGAGAGAGAAGGATGGGAGGAGATGTGCAGCAACAACAGCAGGTTCTGAATGAAACTAAATATAATAACATGATCTCCCTGTTATTCTGTAAAGCACCGTCAACTTCAACTAGTGTCAATATGGGAATATTTAAATGTAAATGAAGAGTCAGAGTTAAAATTGAAAAATAATCAACTGACATTTAAACAGGAACAGAACAGGATGAGCAGCAAATGAATAAAATGTGTTTATTTCTCATTAAAACACATGAAGTAGAACTGCAGTAAATATACAAAAAATAACATTTGAATCCAAGATGAATTTCAGAAAATATGTGTTGATAGAAAGAAAAAAAAGTCCAGTGATTGAGAACAACTGCCATAAATTTAAAGAAATCTGAATAATAAATGAAAGGAATAAAATAAAAAGAGAAACAAAACATCCTGAGATTCATTGTGAATCTTTGACTGGAAACAGAAAAAACAACAAGTTGATCCAGTTATAATCCTGGAATAATCTCAGGATTGTGTAGAAAAGTTTTACCAAGAAACAGTTTGGATCCATGAAAATTAGTTTCTGAATGAAACAAACATATAGAGACTCAACCATATTTTAATCAGTGAGATTTTCTAGCAGGATGAGAAACTTTAGACTCTTTAGACTCAAATCAGCTCAGAAACACTGAAGAGGAACCAGAACTGGACCTCCAGACCGTAAATCCAGGAATCAGAGGTTCAGTGAATGTGGTGTTGAAAGTGTGGAGGAGGATCAGTGAGTCAGAGGAGACTCTGTAGAAGGACAGAATGCCAGCAGGACAGTCCACATACACTGCTACTCTGTTAGAGTCAGAGGAGGAGGAGAGACCAGTTTCTCTGTTATTGTGCCAGACAGAGTAACCAACATCAGAGCATCTCAGACTCCAGGAATGATCATTGCATCCAAACAAACAGTCTCTACTGTCTTCTTTCCTCCTAATTCTTCTGTAACTCACTGATATATCAACTTCTCCTCTCCACTCGACCTCCCAGTAACAGCGACCAGTCAGACCAGTTCTACACAGCAGCTGATACCAGTCATCAAATCTGTCTGGATGATCAGGATATGACTGAAACTCCTTCACACGTATCACCTTCCTGTTGTCTTCAGACAGTTTGAGTTTTCTGTTCACTGTGTTTGTGTCGATGGTGAGTTGACAGGAATCTGATGGAGAGAACAAACACAATCCAGCTGCAGTTATTGATCATTTATTGACACTTTGACTCCTGAATGAGTGATGTGACAGTTTGAAGATGGTTGAATGTGAGCTGCTTTGTTGTCATGAATCAGATGAAAAACACACTTACATTTCCTCAGACCTGGAGTCAAGAATCGGCCTCCAGCAGGCTCCACCCTGAAAGGAGGAGGGGGGTCAGACCATCAGTCTCTTTCAGCACTTCCTCTACCAACCAGCACCACCAGGTGGCGCTGCACACATTTACAATGAGCCCAAGAAGAAGAAGCAGCATCCTGAACCCAGCAGCTGCAGTAATGGCTTGTGAAAGTAATCCTCCCTCCACTGCAGAAGTTCTGGATGAGCTGATCTTGTCTTTTTATCTTTCCTAGTAAATTTATCAGAACTTTGGATCTGAACCAGTTTCTGCTCTCATTTTTACATTTTCTACTTTTTCCATCATTCACTTCAATTCTTCCTTCCTTCTGGAAAACAAGGGATTTAATTTATTCCCTGATTTCATTCATACTTTTGATCATTTTCCAGATGTCGCCCCCTGGTGGAGATAAACTGCCACATAGATGGATCTACTAAACTTCTAAAACTCTTTGCATTATGAATAGTTTTCTTCATTTTTCATGTGTTTTATATTTTAAAACACAAATTCATTAAAGTTGAGAGGTTTGCTTTAAATCTGAATTTATTTATTTCACTCTGAGATCTTTAAACATCCATCTGATCACCATGGAGCTGCTTTTCTTCTCCTCTTTGCTTCTTGGGGCTGATTGGTCTGAAGCTCCATCCAACATGGTTTAAATGTTTCTATCCTCAGTAAATCATCACAGGAATCTAACAGCTGAACTCCTTAGACTCCTGAATGAGTGATGTGACAGTTTGAAGAAGTTGAATCAGAATAAATTCATTATTATTTCCAGTTCCTATTTAGCTCCAGGCTCTCCTCACGTTCTTAGTCAGAAGAATTTTCCACAATCAGCTGAAATCTTCCTAAACACGAGTGTTAAATCAAGAACTGATCCGTTTCCTTCATCAACATCTTTTGTCTCTTTTCCATCATTCAAACATCATCAGTTCGTATCTCTAAATGTTCTTCTGCTCTTTCAGTTACTTTCAGTTTTCTGTTTCCATCCCATTATATTCCATATGCATTAAAGTTACTACATGTTATTGATAATAATTATATCTTTCTTGATCAGCTCCTCTATTTATGTTTCTTGTTTCTTTCTTCCTGTCACTGAAACATTTAAACTGATTCTAAAATCTATATTTTCTCTCAGCCATGTCTCTTTATTACTAATTATTAGCGACTGTCAAACAAAGTCTCTGATCAAAACTTAAATCCAAGCTGCAGTTAAGATGATTTTATTTTCCTCAATATCATCAAAGATCCAGAACATCAGTGGATAACAGATATTTGTGTCCAAAAGCATTAAAACCAGATTAACAGGTTTAAACAAAGATCAGAGATAAAAACATAAAAACTTAAAGTGATCAGTAAAAACTAAACCTCCTCCATCATCACTGACTAAAGTCACCAGGTGAGCAACAGCTGATCTATAATCACTAATAACACCATGTGATCCAGCACTACATCTATACACAACACCAATAATATCTGATTTATGATGTTATTAATCTTCATATTTTAACTTCCTGTCCATCAGCCAATCAGCTTCTTGTATTTCCTCAGTAGATCCATCAGTGGAAGCCCCGCCCAGCCCATGATGCTCCTGGTTTGTGAAGACAGAGAGACAAACTGAACTCTGATAGGAAACAGTTTCAACTGATTTTCTCTCTCCAACCTCTTGGTTCCACATGGAGCTATATTTGGCCCCCTGCTGCTCTGAATACCATGTTATTGTGGTTCAGTAGATGGGTTGGTTTCCCAGGTTTATTCAGAACCATGTGGAAGATTCTTACAGTTTCTAATTGGATGTAGTTTGCAAACTTACAAAGCCAAAATTACCAGCAATATTTATAATTTAACTGTAATAAATACAAGCCAAATACTGAATTAGCATAATAAATTTTAATCTTCACACTAAATGTTTCCCAGCAGACTGACTAAAGACATTTCTCCCTCTTCCTCCTCTATCAGACCTTCTCTGCTCCTGCAGGATGTTCCTCCATACCTGAGAGCTTCCAGTCTCCAGTGTGCATCCTTCAGTCCAGCCGACAGCAGCTTCACTCCTGAGTCTCCTGGATGATTGTAGCTCAGGTCCAACTCTTTCAGATGGGAGGGGTTGGAGGTCAGAGCTGAGGCCAGAGAAGCACAGCCTTCCTCTGAGACCAAACAGCCTGATAAGCTGCAGACACACAATTCATCACATGATGAGAAAATGACAACATTGAGGTAAAACCCAAAGACTGATATTTTTATGGGAAACAAGCACGCAAGAAAAAAAATTATCATGTTAATATAAAAACACTGAAGAAACTGGAGATTCAGCTGTTAATAACATGAAATGAAATAAAACTGTATTTCATTCTGTAGGTGATAAATTTTACAAAGTTGTCATTTGTAAAATTAAAGATAAAGTCTAACAACTGGTTGGAGGAAGAATCTACAATAATGCTTCTTTGTACACTGATGATGCAACAATCTATCAAGTGTCCAGCGTTACACTAACAGTTAAAGCCTGATCTCCATCTTTCTACATTCCTCTCTTCTTGGTTCTTTCAGCCTGGAATAAATGAAAACCAGCTGAGTTTATGTGTCAAGACTTAGCATGATTAGCCTCATCACAGTCAGACATCTACTGATGTTATAATCTGATACTGAAATAAAATTTACATAATATCTTATAGCAGGTAATGAACAGAAATCTGGTTTCACCAGGATGGAGAACATTTTACCTGAGAGTTTCCAGGTTGCAGTTTGGACTCTTCAGTCCAGCAGAGAGAAGCTTCACTCCTGAATCCTGCAGGTTGTTGTTACTCAGGTCCAGTTCTCTGAGACTGGAGGACTGGGAGCTGAGAACTGAGGACAGAGCTTCACAGCTTCTCTCTGAGAGGTTACAGCCACTCAGTCTGAGGAGACAGGGAGGAAAATCTGTTAATAATCCATCAAATGTTTGTGTTACTTTACAATCAACAATATTCTTCTTGGACTGTTTGAAGGTCATATTTTTCAAAACTTTATGATATCTTTATTTTGAACTAATTTATTCTATAGTTGGGACTCAAGACTTGAAGAACTGAACTACAGGCAACAAGAACACTGGAGAGAGAAATATTAAAATCTACAATAATCTGCATTAATTCAGTGGCAGATTCAATAGAAAGAAGATAATTTCTGCTGCTTCAACATTTAACATCATGAATAGTTGCATATGAAGGTCTGTCTCTCTTTTACTCATCACCTGCTAGCAGCAGACTAGGAAACAATGTACCTACAGTTTTTAATTGGATTTAGATATTTGTGTCCAAAAGCATTAAAACCAGATTAACAGGTTTAAACAAAGATCAGAGATAAAAACATAAAAGCTTAAAGTGATCAGTAAAAACTAAACCTCCTCCATCATCACTGACTAAAGTCACCAGGTGAGCAACAGCTGATCTATAATCAATAATAACACCATGTGATCCAGCACTACATCTATACACAACACCAATAATATCTGATCTATGATGTTATTAATCTTCATATTTTAACTTCCTGTCCATCAGCCAATCAGCTTCTTGTATTTCCTCAGTAGATTCACCAGTGGAAGCCCCGCCCAGCCCATGATGCTCCTGGTTTGTGAAGACAGAGAGACAAACTGAACTCTGATAGGAAACAGTTTCAACTGATTTTCTCTCTCCAACCTCTTGGTTCCACATGGAGCTATATTTGGCCCCCTGCTGCTCTGAATACCATGTTATTGTGGTTCAGTAGATGGGTTGGTTTCCCAGGTTTATTCAGAACCATGTGGAAGATTCTTACAGTTTTTAATTGGATTTAGTTTGCAAACTTACAAAGCCAAAATTACCAACAATATTTATAATTTAACTGTAATAAATACAAGCCAGATACTGAATTAGCATAATAAATTTTAATCTTCAACCTAAATGTTTCCCAGCAGACTGACTAAAGACATTTCTCCCTCTTCCTCCTCTATCAGACCTTCTCTGCTCCTGCAGCAGGTTCCTCCATACCTGAGAGCTTCCAGTCTCCAGTGTGGATCCTTCAGTCCAGCCGACAGCAGCTTCACTCCTGAGTCTCCTGGATGATTGTAGCTCAGGTCCAACTCTTTCAGATGGGAGGGGTTGGAGGTCAGAGCTGAGGCCAGAGAAGCACAGCCTTCCTCTGAGAGCAAACAGCCTGATAAGCTGCAGACACACAATTCATCACATGATGAGAAAATGAGAACATTGAGGTTGAGACCAAAGTCTGAACTGGTTATTTTCACAAGAGGAAAAAAGTCAAGAAACATGAGATTCACCTGTTTATAAAAAATAATAAGAAATAAAACTATATTTAATTGTGTAGGGAATAAAAATCAACATTTTTCATTTGTAAAATTAATAATAAAGTCTAACAACTGGTTGGAGGAAGAATCTGCAATAATGCTTCTTTGTACTCTGATGATGCAACAATCTGTCAAGTGTCCAGCGTTACACTAACAGTTAAAGCCTGATCTCCATCTTTCTACATTCCTCTCTTCTTGGTTCTTTCAGCCTGGAATAAATGAAAACCAGCTGAGTTTATGTGTCAAGACTTAGAATGATTAGCCTCATCACAGTCAGACATCTACTGATGTTATAATCTGATACTGAAATAAAATTACATAATATATTATAGCAGGTAATGGACAGAAATCTGGTTTCACCAGGATTGAGAACATTTTACCTGAGAGTTTCCAGGTTGCAGTTTGGACTCTTCAGTCCAGCAGAGAGAAGCTTCACTCCTGAATCCTGCAGGTTGTTGTTACTCAGGTCCAGTTCTCTGAGACTGGAGGACTGGGAGCTGAGAACTGAGGACAGAGCTTCACAGCTTCTCTCTGAGAGGTTACAGACACTCAGTCTGAGGAGACAGGGAGGAAAATATGTTAATAATCCATCAAAAGTTTGTGTTACTTTACAGTCAATAATATTCTTCTTGGACTGATTGAAGAATAGGTCATATTTTTCTAAACTTTATGATATCTTTATTTTAAACTAATTTATTCTATAGTTGGGACTCAAGACTTGAAGAACTGAACTACAGGCAACAAGGAAACTGGAGAGAGAAATATTAAAATCTACAATGAACTGCATTAAATCAGTGACAGTTTCAATAGAAAGTAGAGAATTTCTGCTGCTTCAATATGTAACATCATGAATAGTTGCATATGAGAGTCTGTCTCTCTTTTTCTCATCACCTGCTAGCAGCAGACGAGGAAACAATGTACCTACAGTTTTTAATTGGATGTAGTTTGCAAACTTATATAGCCAAAATACCAGCAATATTTATTATTTAAATGTAATAAATACAAGCCAAATGCATAATCAATTTTAATCTTCAAACTAAATGTTTCCCAGCAGACTGACTAAAGACATTTCTCCCTCTTCCTCCTCTATCAGACCTTCTCTGCTCCTGCAGCAGGTTCCTCCATACCTGAGAGCTTCCAGTCTCCAGTGTGGATCCTTCAGTCCAGCCGACAGCAGCTTCACTCCTGAGTCTCCTGGATGATTGTAGCTCAGGTCCAACTCTTTCAGATGGGAGGGGTTGGAGGTCAGAGCTGAGGCCAGAGAAGCACACCCTTCCTCTGAGACCAAACAGCCTGATAAGCTGCAGACACACAATTCATCACATGATGAGAAAATGAGAACATTGAGGTAGAGACCAACGTCTGAACTGGTCATTTTCACGAGAGAAAAACACACAAAAAATTATATTAATTATGATATTAATATTATAACATGGTAATAAAACTTTACTTCATTCTGTAGGTAATAAAAATCTAAATTTTTCATTTGTAAAATGGATGAGAAAGTCTAACAACTGGTTGGAGGAAGAATCTGTAATAATGCTTCTTTGTACTCTGAGGATGCAACAATCTGTCAAGTGTCCAGTGTTACACTAACAGTTAAAGCCTGATCTCCATCTTTCTACATTCCTCTCTTCTTGGTTCTGGAATAAATGAAAACCAGCTGAGTTTATGTGTCAAGACTTAGCATGATTAGCCTCATCACAGTCAGACATCTACTGATGTTATAATCTGATACTGAAATCAAATTTACATTATATCTTATAGCAGATAATGAACAGAAATCTGGTTTCACCAGGATTGAGAACATTTTACCTGAGAGTTTCCAGGTTGCAGTTTGGACTCTTCAGTCCAGCAGAGAGAAGCTTCACTCCTGAATCCTGCAGGTTGTTGTTACTCAGGTCCAGTTCTCTGAGACTGGAGGACTGGGAGCTGAGAACTGAGGACAGAGCTTCACAGCTTTTCTCTGAGAGGTTACAGCCACTCAGTCTGAGGAGACAGGAAGGAAATTCTGTTATTAATCCATCAAATGTTTGTGTTACTTTACAGTCAATAATATTCTTCTTGGACTGATTGAAGAATAGGTCATATTTTTCTAAACTTTATGATATCTTTATTTTGAACTAATTTATTCTATAGTTGGGACTCAATACTTGAAAAACTGAACTACAGGCAACAAGGACACTGGAGAGAGAAATATTAAAATCTACAATGAACTGCATTAATTCAGTGACAGTTTCAATAGAAAGTAGAGAATTTCTGCTGCTTCAACATGTAACATCATGAATAGTTGCATATGAGAGTCTGTCTCTCTTTTACTCATCACCTGCTAGCAGCAGACTAGGAAACAATGTACTGATAAATAATCAGTAAATACCAGTAGATGGTTTGGTTAACTGGATGTTATGCCGCCAACACTTAACTTTCATCAACAATTCAGAGGCAGAAGTCAGAGCCCCACGCAAATCAAACAATGTTCTGGCGGGAACCAGGTGCAGGGAAAAAAAAAAAACTAATTTATTTTTTATAGGAGAAAGGAACATTTTTCTTGAGGAATTTTAATATTTGAATCATTCGTGGAATCGTTTCAGCCCTATATTTTACACCTATTAATGTTCATGGTATAATCCTCCAGTTTTAAAGGACAGAATGACAGGAAAAAAGAAGGCTGGAAGGAGAATTATACAATTCCATAAGGAACTAAGTGATTCCATTTTAGCATAAAAAGAAGTTCTTTTATTACTTGAATGTAACATTATGTCCAGATGCTCAAGGAAATCTGTCTCCCAGAGACACTTTGAAGACACAATGCACTGATAAACTAATACATGAATATATATTTACCTCATAATTAGCAGATTTCTATCTGTCAAAAATTACTGCAGTAACAGTCTGTTTGCTTACAGAGCTTTGTTGGAGGCTTTAACCACTGGCAGCAGCCTCAGATGAACCTCCTCTGAAGCAGAATATTTCTTCAGGTCAAACACATCCAGATCTTTTCCTGATGACACTAAGATGAAACCCAGAGCTGACCACTGAGCAGGAGACAGTTTATCTGTGGAGAGACTTCCTAAACTCAGAGACTGTTGGATCTCCTTCACTAGAGAACGATCATTCAGTTCATTCAGACAGTGGAACAGATTGATGCTTTTCTCTGCAGACACATTGTCATTGATCTTCTCCTTGATGTACTGAACTGTTTCCTGATTTGTCTGTGAGCTACTTCCTGTCTGTGTCAGCAGACCTTGTAGGAGTCTCTGATTGGTCTGCAGTGAAAGTCCCAGGAGGAAGCGGAGGAACAAGTCCAGGTGTCCATTTGGACTCTGTAAGGCCTGGACAACAGCTCTCTTATGGAGAGAATTTAGTTTAGGTTTATTAAATAATGAAGATTTCTTAGATGTTTGTGTTTCTTTCATCAGGTTGACACCAGAGTTGATGAAGGTCAGATGAACATGAAGAGCAGCCAGAAACTCCTGAACACTCAGATGGACGAAGCAGAACACCTTGTCCTGGTACAGACCTCTCTCCTCTATAAAGATCTGTGTGAACACTCCTGAGTACACTGAGGCTGCTCTGATATCGATGCCACACTCTGTCAGGTCTGATTCATAGAAGATCAGGTTTCCTTTCTGCAGCTGATCAAAAGCCAGTTTTCCCAGAGACTCAATCATCTTCCTGCTCTCTGGACTCCAGTGTGGATCTGTTTCAGCTCCTCCATCATACTTGACCTTCTTCACTTTGGTCTGAACCACCAGGAAGTGGATGTACATCTCAGTCAGGGTTCTGGGCAGCTCTCCTCCCTCTCGGGTCTCCAACACATCCTCCAGAACTGTAGCAGTGATCCAGCAGAAGACTGGCATGTGGCACATGATGTGGAGGCTTCGTGATGTCTTCATGTGGAGATGATCCTGCTGGCCTGTTTCTCATCTCTGAATCTCTTCCTGAAGTACTCCTCCTTCTGAGGGTCATTGAACCCTCTGACCTCTGTCACCATGCCAACACACTGAGGAGGGATCTGATTGGCTGCTGCAGGTCGTGTGGTTATCCAGAGGAGAGCAGAGGGAAGCAGTTTCCCCCTGATGAGGTTTGTCAGCAGAACATCCACTGAGGTGGACTCTGTAGAATCAGTCAGGATCTCCTTCATGTGGAAGTCCAGTGAAGTCGACTCTCATCCAAGCCATCAAAGATGAACAGAACCTGGAAGAGTTCAAAGCTGCAGATTTCTTTGGTTTCACTAAAGAAGTGATGAACAAGTTCCACCAAGCTGAACTTTTTCTCTTTCAGCACATTCAGCTCTCTGAACGTGAATGGAAATATGAACTGGATGTTCTGGTGGACTTTGTCTTCAGCCCAGTCCAGAGTGAACTTCTGTGTTAGGACTGTTTTCCCAATGCCAGCCACTCCCTTTGTCATCACTGTTCTGATTGGTGGATCTCTTCCAGGTGGGACTTTAAAGATGTCTTCTTGTCTGATTGTTGTTTCTGGTCTGTGTGGTTTCCTGGATGCTGTTTCAATTTGTCTGACCTCATGTTCATCATTGACCTCTCCAGTCCCTCCCTCTGTGATGTAGAGTTCTGTGTAGATCTGGTTCAGAAGGGTTGGACTTCCTGCTTTAGCAATTCCCTCAAACACAGACTGGAACTTCTTCTTCAGACCAGATTTAAGTTGATGTTGACAAACTGCAGCAAATTGTTCTAATAACACAAAAAGTAAAATTAGTAACTAAACAAAATTATTTTCTTAGGATGATAATAAATCTTATTCTATCTCTTCAAACATTAGTAAATGTGTGATTTATCCATCAAATCAAATCTTTTAAGAAATCCTCTTACTCGTCTGCAGATGGTCAGCCAGCTTTTTCTGCTTCATCTTCCTCAGGAAGTTCAGTGTGATCTTCATCACTGCCTCTCTGCTGCTCCTCCTCTGCTCTTCATCATCACCTTCCAACACCTCATCATCTCTCTGACTCTCTGAATGTTCTGGGTAATCTGGACTCAGAACTTTCTGAATCTTCTTCAGTTCTTTCTTCACAAAAGTAACAATGTTGTCCTCTAGCAGCTGAAACAGAATAGTAGATGAAGGAAACATCAGAGTGAAATCATGGAGCCAAACACCAGATGGATGTTGGACAGACTGACAGTCCTCTGGTCTACAAAGTGCAGACATTCAGCTCTCTGAAGGTGAATGGAAATATGAATTGGATGTTCTGGTGGGCTTTGTCTTCAGCCCAGTCCAGAGTGAACTTCTGTGTTAGGACTGTTTTCCCAATGCCAGCCACTCCCTTTGTCATCACTGTTCTGATGACAAAGGGACATCAGAACAGTCACTTTTCCATGAGTTCCTTGAACAGAACTCATGGAAAAGTATTTGTTGTTTATATACAGACCATAAATATGGAGTCCAGCTGTGTTTGATGCTGCTGGGCAGATGGACCCCTGGGAACCTCTGAGCTCTGCTGGTCCATTCTGTGGAGGAACCAGGAACAATTAGGAAGTCAGGAAATATTCATCCAACAATTAACAGATTAAATCATCAAAAGTTTCACAATAAAATCCCTTAAAGCAGAAAAAATGATTATCACAGAAACATAATACAAAGACATTAGAAAGAGGCAGATGAAACACACAGATGAAGTAATAAAACACAACACCAGAATCATCCAATAGACATTCAAAGAAATTGGTGCTGAACTTGGACTTCAAACAGTCCACACTATCTGCAGATCTGATGCTGGTGGAGACAGTTTCCCAGAGCTTGGGGACAGTGGAAGTTAAGGCTCTGTCCACACAGGTCTTCAGGACAGTGTGGGACATCCATCAGGTTCTGATGACTAGATCTGAGGTGATGTGGACATGGAGGAGGTCTGAAATATGTGGGTGTGTCCATATGGGATCCTCTCCTGGATGTTATAGAGGATTTAAAATGGATCCTCTAGATCCTTGGAAGCCAGTGAGCTCACATTGTATCTGTCCACACAGAGACAATCAGAAGGTAAAGGTCCATGAAGTGATATCTGGATGTGAGCAGTGAACCAGGTGATCTAAGGAGTTGTAAAGATTTAATGCTCCTGCTGATCCCATTAAGAACCAGCAAAACCTCTGATGGTCCACATCAGCTTAGTTTGGTTGAGTTCCAGCAGATCTCACCAACCACATCATGAAGCTTTCCTTCCCTGCTGAACTGCTCTCACAATGCACACAGAAACCAAGTCCTGATGGACCAGAATGGCTTTACCAGGTATTTCCCAGTGGAAATGTGATCCACTGTTAGTCTGACATGGAGCCAGGAAGCAACAGAACATCATCATCAACATCCAGAGATAAAGATATGAAGGTGTTTTCATGAGAACAGAGCAGCTGATTTCTGTAGATAATGGATCAAACCTCTCTGTAAGAAAAGACTTTTTGTAGTTCTAGTAGCTCATATTTTAGAGAGTAGGCAGACAGCAAAGAGGGCAGATGACAAACATGGGGCGTGGTAAAACCCTTGCGCCACCACAACACACCCCAGATCTTTCATTGATTTACCAACAATTCAGTTGGACTTCATTGCAGCCATTGGTAGCCAGGATGAACCTGGTTGTCGTAAGTATTAGTCAAGCGTTGATCCATTGGGGCTTTAAGACGTGCTGAGCGGCTAATTTTATACCTGTTGATTGCATGTAAAGTCAATCCCAGAGATTTTCTTTGTTGTCCAAATTTGTTCCAGTCAGATGAATCTTTTTTGAACAAATCCATTTATTCCATGATAGACAGCAACAGCGCTCTGCGCTCAAAAACTTGTATACCTTTCAAGGTTCAACACCTATCAGCTCTTGGTTCATATACTGGAGGCCATTGTCACATCTAGTTACCAAAACCAAAATATATTTGGTTCTTATAGAGACCAATAAAGTCCATGATACAAAGTTCCTAAGTTGATTATTGAACCATGTAAGCATGGAGACATCAATGTCATCAATGTGACATATTAAAAGAAAATAACTTGGTATTCAGTCTAATACTCATATTAAACAGAACTTATCATCACATGGCCACAATAACAGATATAAACAGAAGTTACAGCAGTTAGAAACAGCTCACCTCTCTGATGGTGGAGATCCAGGAGATTTAAAGTCAATGATCTCATCCTTTGACCAGTCACTCTTAAAGGACACACAGCTGGGTTCTGGTTCTGGCTCTGGTTCTGATTTGAGTCTCTGATGGATCCTGACAGAAACATGATGATTAAAACTTAATCAGCAAAGAGGAGCAGCAGCAGCTTCATCACCACGTCTGTTCTGGCCTGATATAGTGAACGCTGTGTGAAAAGGGCTGTGGACAGTTAGAGATGGTGACCTCACCTCTGACCTTTGCTCTGGCTCTCATCTTCCCCACACAGAGTGGTTTTAGCGGGAGGGACTCCCTCCTCTCTGTCCTCACACTGATCCATGCTGCTGAATCCACATCAGCTCACACACACTTTCTAGCTTCACCTGCAGAGGAAACACACATCATTCATCTGCACATCAACTCTGATCATCCTTTACATCATTAGTGCTGGAAAAAGATCAGCTGCTCCTCCTCTGATTGGCTCTTCTTCTCTGCTTCATATCAGTGTCAGGTGAATGCAGTCAGACAGCAGAGAGGCAGAGGAAGCTGCCATCAGCTGCTGCACTTCTACTATCAGTCCACTAGATGGAGACATGGAGCAACATTTACATTCACTCATTCACAATAAACAGGAAGGATTTTAATTAGTTAATTTTTAATCTCTACAAGTGGATTAAATGCAATTCAGATTAAGTATCAAGTAATTTGACTGAATTAAACACATCTTACTATAGCAGCATTTGTCCTACTTCCTTTTGAATGAAAGTAGGACAAACTTGTTGTTTTTGTCTTTAATGGTGGAGACCAGAGTTTGATGTAATGGGAAAAATTATGAATCAATTTGTTCAGACCAGAACAAAAACATCAAATGTTCATCCTCTTTGATTCTAGTTCATCAATAATCCTGTAGATTAACCTTCAAACAACAGAGATTAAAGTTTGATCTGAAATTAAAGGTGAACATTTTCTCCAAACATCAGAGAGAAAAATAACAAACTGGCTGTAAAGTTTCTGAAGACAAAGGTCATGTAGAAAACAAAGCAAACTTACAGTTTGTTCAGACAATCCAAAGAGTTGAACAAGAAAATGTGATCAACAAACTGAGACCCAACAGAACCAGACTGGTACCAAACCTTCACAGTGGAAATGAGGTGAAACTGGTTTGACTGAGAACTGTCAGATGAAAGTTTATCTGTTGACGTCTGAAGACATAAAATCTACTCATAACTCTCAGTTTGAACACAAATGTTCTGCTGCTGTTATTCTGCTGATCCAGGTTCTGTTCAGCTCCAATGGAACCAGAACCTGTTTTAACTTGGAACCAACTGGACTCTTCATTGGTGGAGAAACTACAACCTCAATGACGTCTGATTATTGATTATTGATGAAGGGTTTTTAAATGATCCAAATATGACTGATAAAAAGTTATCAGAACCAGAACCTGTTGAGTTGGCAGCTTGTTGGATGTTTGGGAGGAGAACCTGAACATTCAACCTCCAGGATTTACAGGAGGTTCTGGATTCTGACTCAGGAACCTGAACAATGAAAGATGAAACCAGTGACTCCTTGAAAATGGGATGTTTGGATCTGAATAAGCAGTGAACATGTTCTCTAAACATCAGAGAGCAAAAACTAGCAGGAAAGTTCCTAAACTCAAAGTTCAAGAAGGATAAAAAAATAAAACTTACTGTTTGTTCAATCGATCCAAATGATTGATGAAGAAAATCTGAGCAACAATCAGACTGGAAACACCTTAAACGGTGAATTCAAACTGAAAGAAAATGTGACAGATGTTGCAGAACTTC